CTGGAAGGGACTACTACTCTCTCCTCCAAGTCCTCCTCCACATCTTTGCCAGTTATTGGTTGAGAATGTAAATTGGATTGGGCCCCATCCCTGGTCCACAAACCTTCTCTGACATCCCGCCATCTCCTGCAGGGTAACAAAGCCAGGGCACAGGTGTTGCTGGCCTCCATGCCTGCACCATGGCAGACATCATTTAGCGATTGCCACATCTTCTGCTGAGCCTGGATGTAGCCTCAGAATCTCTTAGCACAGCCCTCTAGGCAGCCATGACCAATCAGTCATCCTCAGGATGAAAAACGTTTCTCTCCTGGTGAATGGATTGAGCTGGAACTTCTCAGCCTGGCCCTTTGCTATCTTTTTCTACCCTTATTTCCCATCATTGCTTCTATGGTCCAGCTTCTTTCAACCGCTTGCCTTCCCCAAATATTCTGACTTTCTCTCACTCTGAGTGTGTCTGTGCAGGGCCCCAGCCTGGGATGCCCTCTATGCAGATTGCTCGTTGTGCCTCAGTATCTGTACTCCCACATTCCATAGTAATAAAGTTGCATCTGGGTGTATGGCCATCCAGCAAATACTGCCCGGCTACCCCCTGGACTTGGGGTGACCATGTGACTAAGTGTTGCCACTGGGATATGAGCAGAAGTGATACACATCAGGGTTTTTTTTCCTTCAAGCTTTGCTCTTAAGGGTTTGGACATATCCACACTAGCCCTTCCCCTTTCTCACTTGCCAGGGAATTATGAGAACAAAACAGTCGCCAAGGACCCAGAGGCAGAAGCCACAAGATGGAGAAGGCAGGGATACCCCCCAGCCCTAACACCCTCCTCAGGCCTGCTAAGGAAGAGCCTGTCCGTCTGCCTGGTTGAAGTCCCTGTATTTGCTGGTCTATTGTTACGGTGGCAGCTGACTCTGTACCCTAACTCTGTGCCCTCCCTTCTACTTCCTTGCTCCTTACCACTGACCCCCAGAGTCACCTCTTCAGTGAAGTTTTCCCAGAGGCCCAACCAAGCTCCTCTGATGCCTGAAACTTTGGAAACATCTCTCACCAGCACACTCTAAATCAGAGGAAGGCCATGGCCTCTTTCACTGACTAGGCTGGAGTCAATGTCTCTCCTCTTCATCCACCACTGGCTGTGGTGCTAGTGCACAAACCTGACTCTTATCATCCCCTTGCCCAAACCTTGGCCTAGTGGTCAGCGGATGACACTAGCCTACTCTCTCCCTTAGAGGTGAGGACCAGAACGTGAAGCGACCAGCTCCAGCGACTCAGCTGGCACGGCCCCGCTGTGTGTGAAACCACGCACCAAACTGCCAGCACTGCCAGCCCCACCCAGCCCCAGAGTGGCGGGTCTGAAGTAGCTGCTTCCTTGCTGGCTGGAGTCTATATTGTCCTGATCCTCATTGTTAGCAGAACAGGGACAGGGCCTGAGAGAGTTTCCCTGAGCTCTGTATTCTTCTCAAGTGGCCCAGGAAGTCCCACAGTCTGTGTATCAGTTTCCCAAGGCCTTTCTCCTGTCCCATCAGGCCATATACTTTGCAAATGGCCCACACCTATTCCTCTGAACTTCTGACCGCTGTGACCCTCCTGAAGCAATCATCCCAGGCCTGCAGGCCCATTATTCCCTGACAAACAGCACATGCAACCCAGAAGCAGGATGCAGCCGGACCCCAGCCAGCAGATGGCTATTTCGGGACAGGGAGGATCCTGGGAGGATGCCGACGAGGTCAGAGTAGGAAGGGAAGGAGGTGGGTTTTCTGCCCACGATTATGTGTCCCAAGCCCTCTGGATGCGTCCCAGGGACCCAAGGCTGCCACAAGGAAGAACACACCCACCACAGGACTCCGGCCTCAGCCACAGAGGCAAACTGGGGTCAGGCATGGGTTGGGGCTCTAGGTTCCAGTCCCAGGGGCAGGAAGAGTATGTGTTTGTTGTCCCAAGAGCAGTGTGTGTGTGTGTGTGTGTGTGTGTGTGTAGTAGGTGAGGGAGGTGTCGGAACCCAACCAGAGGGCAGCCAGAGAACACAAGAATGAATCCAATTACTCAGGAATGATTATTGGTGATAATTTATTGACCATTCACCAAGCACCTACTATGTATGGGCCACAATATTAGATGCTGGCAAGACAAAAGTGAATAATGCTTTCACTCTGCACATTGCACTTTACAGTTACATAAGTCCTTCTGCAAGTATTAGGAGCCTCAATGTCATTCATTAAAGTGGTTTATAAATTCTGACCCTAAGGAAATAATCCATGATGCATATTTAGGTGCAAGAAGGAGAGTGGGGTTTTATTTATGAGTTCAGAGATTAGCAAATATTTCAGAATGTCAGAAGTCCATTCTGCCTATTTCAAGTGATCTGGAGGTCATCCATCAATACAAAGTACCCAGTACTGTGCCTAGCACATAATAAGTACTCAGGGGCAGTGGCAGTCACTGCTATTATGCATGACAGGGTGGCAGCCACATGGCCCTCAGGCTCCAGTCTGGAGGTAGTGACTTCACTCATGGTGAGAAGCCTAGGTTGGGCAGAGGGGTTACTTCCAGGACCCCACTGGACCTAGCCCATCCCAGCAGATGCATTGTTACTCCGAAGTTCCGTTGTCTGAGATGCCTCTGTGGCTCTTCCAGTCCTGCTCTGCCAAATCTCAAAAAGCTGGGAGAGTACCATTGTCTCCTGATTTTGTCTCAATTTGGGGTCTTCTTAAATGTGATCCATACTTTGGGCCAAACTATCCTCTGTGATCTCCAACACCTGGGGATTCTGTAACACCTCCCAGGAGTCCCTATTCTCTCTCCTCCCATCTTCTGGACAACTCAGTCCCTGCTGGTGGCCCTGCCCCACAGAGGACCTGCATCAAGTCCTTCCTGCTCCCTCTGGGTCACCCGTCCCCACCACCTCTGAGCTGCTCATGCTGCTTCACGACTTTCTCCACCCTGCCCAAGGCCCTGAATCTCACACAGCCTCCTAGAAGGCGAGGAAGATGAAGCATCCTCCCAAATCCTTCCTCCCTCCTACTATATTCCTCCCCAGCTCCCAGCCTCCCCAGGAACACCTGAGCCAGACTCGCCCAAGCACAAAATTCATACCTAATGATTAAGCACCCACTTTGAGGGTGGGCAAGACGTGTGAAGCCCAGTCAGACAGGGAAGGGAGAAGAGCAAGCCTCTGCCTTGCCATAAATGTGTAGCCCACATTGTTCTCAACACTGGGACATGGCGTTTGATAAGGATTTCTGTGCCTCTTTCAAGTGCAAGAGCATTGAACTAAAAATAATAATAGTCCTCACAAGGAATCAGGAAAGGTGTTGTTACTTTCCACCATTATCTCACTGAGTCTCCACCATATACCTGCAAGGTGGGTATTCTTCCCATTTTTCACACAAGACAACTGTGGCAAAGAGAGGTTAAATAACCCCCTGAAGTCATACAGCTGATACATGTCAGAGTTGGAATTCAAATCTGTAATCTTCTGTGGCCCCAAATCTCCTGCCTTTCACCAGCATTCTGTACTTCAACTGAAAGATGATTGCAATTGACCAAGAGTTATGGGGGCAACAGACATGATTATGTGAAGCACAGACTGCCTCAGAAACCCTGAGGCTGCTGTTCCTCTGCCCAGGCCGTGTCGCCCCACCTCGCCTTCATCTCAACTCATTAATTTTGGCATTCTTCTCCCAAAAGCTCTTCAGATCCCAGGGCTCAATCTCCGGGTCCCAAGGGAGGAAGGGAGCTTCCCAGGGCTTCTGGGCACCCTTTTAATTAACCCTGGCGACCCTCTCCTAACTGGGCCAGCTGAATCCCGTCACAGTCTCTCCATTTCCCTGGCAGAGCCCCTGAACTGAAACTCCCACCTCAGCCCTCACCCTCTGGGGGATGAGGGCACTCCATTTCCCACATGCTCACCACCTGTGCCTCTCTTTCCTAGCCTGGAATCAAGCTGAGGACTGCTTGGGTCCTCAGCTCCTGTGCCGAGGTGTCACCTGCCCTGGCACCTGGGGAATTGAGGGGCCCCACTGTTAGAGGCCCAGAGCAGGGCAAGATTCTCTGTGATTACTCCAGAGTGAAACCTGCCCCACAACCTTTTTTGGAGCCTCCTTCTTCACCCCCAAAAGAGGACAGCCCATTCCAGTTACTCATCGGGGCAATGATTTACTCATCTGTCATTGTCATAGCTTAATAATAATGGTCAGCAACTTAGAAAAGTCCTCATGAACTATAATATATCACCAGTCCACACTAGGGACAGTGCAGTTGAACCCAGCACCCAGCACAGTACCCAACACAGAGCAGGGACTCAGCACACAGCTGTGGCCAAACAGAATGGGTGAGGGACAGAGGAAAGAGCACTAGAGCAGGCGTCCTTGGCAGTGATCTGACCACAGAGGACTAGTAAACAGTAAAAATAGAAACTGAATCCAGATTAGACTGGTTGGCTCTTACACTGCATTGCCCTGTAACCTTCAGCTTATGCGAGAGTGTGTTTGTACACTGTGTGCATAGCTTACATACCATACAGTTAACTACACAGAACCCTAAGCCACCTAGCTAGGGCAGGCAAGTTTTTCAATTATGGGGTAATTCATTCATTCAGGTAACAAACACCTTGGTACACCTACTGAAGAGCCGGAGACACAATAGCAAACATGATGAGCCAGGTCCCTGCCCTAGGGAGCTTATCCTCTCTTCAATTCTGCATAACTTCACAATTTTCTAAACATAGTTACGCCCATCATCATATCTAATTTCACAACCTGGTTTGCACAGAGAAGACCTGTAGAAGAGTTACGAATGAATGAATGGTTGAATGAATGAATGACAAATGGGGCATGGGCAGGCTGGCCAATGAGTAGATGGAAGGTAAACATCACGGATAACGGTCATTCCCATCTTTCATATGAAAAGTGAAACTCTGAGTAGGATGTGGCTAGAGCACAACCACTAAAAGAGCCTCTAGTGTGTGTCCCTATCCTAGTCACCCAATTATAGGGCTCCTTACCAGGTGGGCAGTGGCACCCTGGAGAGGTCTTTGGGGTCTCCCGGCGCCTCCGAATGTGGAGCTTCCATTTCTGCAAAGGAGAGAGAAAAGCCTTTGGAATCGTAAACACCAAGCTCTGTAAAGTGTCTGCAGCTGGTGGGGAGGCAGGGGGAGAAGGTGCTGCTTGGGGGCTGGAAGGGAGACTGATCCTGGATCAAAGACTGACCATGGGGCATCTGGGTAATAAGAAGCAGATGGAGAAGGTCCTATCTAGGTGATCTCAGTGTCTGATGTCTTTGGAGTGCTCTTAAAGAAATTAACCCCAACCACAGGGTCCTACAGACTCATCGTGATCTTCCTGCACCCCAGTCATGGCCACAAAGACCTGGTTTTCCTGACTCTGCTGTCTCCCATCTGGGTCTGGGCTCTTGATGAGTCCAGGGGGCAGGGACAGAGTCCCTCACAGAGCCAGGCACAGGCAGGTCTGGGCAAGATTCAGGGCTAGGGGGCTGGGCATGCCCCTTCTCTTTCATCAAACCTCTTCCTTGCCAGCTTGCAAATCAGTGATCCAGTTGGGAAGGCCCCAAAGAAGTGGCATCAAGTAGCTTGAGGCACCTTCTGCCTTCAAGGAGCTGCTATTTCTAAGGTGGTGGAGGGACAAGTGCCCACCTGAGCTCCAGCGCCTGGAAGGCTCACTCTGCAAAGGGCAGTGTGCTGAGGGCCTCAGTCCCCACAGCCATGAGGGTCCGAGCCACACTCGCACAGAGGCTAACAGGGATGTCTCTATGGCTGGACTGCCTGGGTTCACAAGCAGTAGCAGTTCTCAGACCCTGAGCTGATAACAGTCCCTACACCCAGGAGGCTCACAATAAGTGTCAGCTATTGTTACACTCCCGTTACAGATGGGGGACCTGAAGCAGGAGTGGGGACTGCAACCTGGCCAAGGTCAGGGGCAGAGTAAGGCAATGAGCTGGGATTTGCATCCACTCTCTCTCATGCTGTGCAGCAGTTACAACCTGGTAGCCCCAAGGCCAAACTGGCGTTTTATTTGGTTCCCACAGTTTTTTTTTATTTGTTGCCAATATTCTATGCTGATTTCACAAGCAAATTTGCATTTCTAATTTCTTTGGAAAAACTGGAAGATCTGGTCACTTGGGGCTGGCAAGGACTGACTACATGCAGGGGGCTGTCATCCCTGACACCTGAACCAGGTAGGATGCCGGAGGGCCCCCCACCAGCACTTCTTCAGCATTTGCCTCCTCACTCCTGTGTAATTCTGCCACTTGAGGTGGGCCATGAGAGAGGTGAAGAAAGTTGCATAGGAGGGATTTTAGGATTTGGTGTCACCTCTGGTTCGGTGGTAGGGAGGGGAGGTCAGCAAAGCTTCAGGAGAATTCCTACCAGACAAATGTCTGCTGAGCCCCGCTGTGTATGGGCGCTGAGCTGGGTGATTTTTACAGAGAATCATATCTGTTTTTCACAATCTAACACTAAGGTAGGTTTAACAGTGATCTCATTTTCTACTTAAGGAAACAGAGGCTCAGAGAGGCTGAATGACTTGCTGAAGGTTACACAGCTGATATGTGGTGGGCCTGGGATGAGAACTCAGGTCTTTTGATGGAAAGTCCACTCCACCCTGCGGGAGAAAGGTTTGTATAAATGCCCCTGGAAGAGGGAGTATAGCAATAGACACGTGTGGGGGGCTCTGAGGGCACAGTGGGTAGAAGATTCAAGCAGACATGGGGAAGAAGGGAGGAATTCCCGAAGGGGAGCCTCTTACTCAGAAAGGAAGGCTGGCATGTAGGTATTAGGTGGATGGATGTTGAGGCCAGGCTACAGGTGGCACAGAATGGCCACTGGGCAAACAAATGACCTCCCAGGACAAAGTCTGGTGGAAGGCCCCATGCTAATACCATCTTCCAGTAGGGGACTGTATGCATCTGCTTCCACATTCCTTCCCACCAATAACCTGTGGGTTCCTCCGGGGATTTATCTGTGGCTGTGCCTGGCACACAGCAGGCACGTGAAGTCTTCTATGTGATAGAGCCAGTCAATGACTGGCAAGCCAAGGCAGCTGACTTTGCAGCCTTCTGGCTACAGTTTGCAAACATTAGGGCTGTCATGCATTCGACAACGGCAAGATGCCCAGCACAGGGTGGGCTCTGCAGAGAGCGAATGCAGCACGGGAGGGAGAGGCCCCGCCCTCATGGGGCCTCACCTTTCCCTGGAGGAGACAGACAATCTAGAAATTAGTATTTGTTTCAGGCAGTGAGAAGTACCATATAAAAAAATTAAGTAAGGGGGCAGAGTAAGGGGACAGAGAGTGATACTTAGAGAAGGTCTCTCTTTTTGGGTAGACGCTTGAGCAGAGGCCTGGCAGAAGCAGGAAATGAGTTGTGCAGAGATTTGGAAAAAGCGTGTTCCAGACAGAAGGAACAGCAGAAGCAAAGGCCCTGGGACAGGACTGGGATGGAGTATTTGAGGATGAGGAAAGGGGGCAGTATGGCTGGAGTGATGTGTGTGAGGAAGGAGGGACAGGAAATGGTGGGAGGGCAGAGGGGAGGGCACACCTTCAGAGCACCAGCCGACTGTGGGTTCATAACATCCCGGACCCCTGACATTTCCATGGCTCACTGACAGCTATAGAACTCTAGAGCCCATGTGGGTGCTGTGGGGCTCCATCTAGGTGCTGGGGTATTGGCTGCTGATGGTCCAGCCCCACTCTGGAATTGCTCTTAGGTGAAGGGAGCTGCCTCCACCAGGGTCATGCCCACTCCCCAGGCCAGCCCATACCCAGTTACAGGAGATACCTGGTACCGACCCAGCTATTTTGCCTCAATTCAGGGTGACTCTGAGGGCCATCCCAGCTGAAGAGCCCCCAGGGGATCAGCTGACGCCTCTGTGGTGACAGCCCCTCCCTCTGCCCAGCCCTGCTTCCCTTGTCTCCTCCAATGTTGAGCCCAATAAACCTCCTGCTCTCAAACTTCCACCCTGGACTGTTTCCTTGGGAACCTCACCTAAGACAGACCTGACAGACTTTCCATCTCCTGAGCCTTCACTGGACCCTCACCACTGCCCTGTGTGACAGGCAGGCCAGAGATTGGCTCCTTTAATAATCAAGGCAACAGACTCAGAGAGGAAAAGGAAATGGCCTTGAATAAGTAAGTCACAGAGGGCTTAAATTCCAGGTCCTCCACCTCCAAGTTCAATACTTTTGTTTAGTCAATCCAGTATCTATGAAGCTCTTACTGAGACTGTGCAAAACAGAGAACAAGACACAGTCCCCATCAGCAAAGGGTTTGAGCCCAGGGTGGGATGTGTCCAGGTGACTGCAAACTTTGAGTGGAGGGGGACCTGGGGGCCTGTGTGGCAGCATGACAGTGAAAAGCAGATGAGGGCAGGAGTGATACAGGATGGGGAAAGGACAGGGCACAGCATGGACTGGGCGTGCGGTAGGTACCAGGCCCCCTCAGGGCAGCTGATGCCCCCACTGAGACAGGACAGGGGCCAGAGCAGGCTAGGGGAAGTTGATGAGTTGGTTGGGAGCTTGTGGAAGAGTCCAGATGGGCAGGGAGGGGCATGTATAGCTCTGCTATCAGGAGAGGGGCCTGGGAAAGAAAGGTGGATCTGGGAGCCAGGAGCATCCATTAGGAGGGGAGGGAGACATCTGAGTGGTGAAGCCACCAGGGACACAGAGGTGGGAAACTGGATAAATTCAGGTGTGGGTGTGTTTTCTTGGCCTGCTCAGTATTTATTTTTTAAAAGTACTAAATCCCAACATGGTGGCAAACCTTCCAGAGTCTGGGCTTTGACCTCACAGGCTAGCCTTCATATGCAGCTCAGTCCTACACCTAAGTGCCAGGCACCAGCCTACAGGATCATCAACCCACAGGTCCTTCCACCTTTGTGCTGTCCTGGTCCACCAGGTGTCACTTCCCTCCATGCCCAGCTCAGAATCTTTGATCAGGGATTGTAATTGCTCCTGGTACCCCCTCGGCTGCCTTGATGCCTTTCTCCTCCAGCACATTCTCTTAGCTAAGCCACAAACCACACAGATCCAGTGTTTCCACCTACTCCACACAGGCCCCCCAGCAGCCCAAGCAAGCCAGAGAAAACGCAACCCTTGCTGGCTGACCTCACTTTAATTATCTCAGATGAAAGCCCAGCAGGCACACTGTGTGTCCCTTGTCCCTTCATCTCATGGTGCTAGCAGGTCTCACACCTTCTTTCTCTTCAACCCCAATGACCCTCCTGGACCTGGAGGAAACAGAAGCAGGCAGAGAGCTCTCCCAGAGGCTCCCTCCACCCACACCAGCCTCCATCTGCCCCCGTGACCACACATTCTCCCTTCTCTTTTCTTGCAGGTCCCCTCTGTGCTCCCAGGTAAGGCCAACATCCCCCTGTGCACCAGGTCGCCCCCCTGCCTGGCTCCAGGACATCATGCCAGCAAGGGCCCCCTCCCAGCTATCATCAGTTTCCTCCTCCAGACTGGATCACTTAGCACCAGGAGTCAGTCTATTCTGTAAAGGGCCAGTTAGTAAATCTCTCTGGCTGTGTGAGCCATATGATCTCTGTCACAACCACTCAGCTCTCCTGTTGTAGGCGAAAAGCAGCCATAGACAACTCGAACACAAAATAAGCACAGCTATGTTCCCATAAAAACGTATTTACAAAAACAGGCTTCCAGGGGGATTTAGCTGTCTTTGCCCACCATGATGTAATCATTAGGCAAACATGCTGTTGTTCCTTCCATCATAAAAAAAGGAAAAGAAAATCCTCTCTTGACCAAGCTCTTTTCCTAGAAAAACTCCCTGATGAAGGGTGTCTCCCTGCTCTCTCCTGGACCTCTCCTATCAGCCTCTTACTCTCCCCACACCCAAGCGGCTGCTTTCAAGGTCACCAGTGACCCTGCGTTGCTGAGTCCAGAGGAGGGACCTCCCCAGATCTCAGCCCTTCAGCCTGCTCACTCCTCCTTCTGCTGGCCTCCAGGATTTTGTTGTTGTTAGCTCATTTATCTTGCTACCTGCAGCCCCTCCTACCTACTATGGATGTTAAGTTCCATAAGGACATGGATATTCTGGTCTCTTTTAT